GCCGTGTCGTCTTCAGACTCAGATTCCTTCTCATCATCAGCCTCTGTTGTGTCATCATCAAATATGGCATCCTCTTCTGACCCGTCGAGTGCATTGCTGTTACAGCATTTCCTAAATGATTTTTCTATCATTTCCGAGAGAATGGACACCCACATGTCCTTGATCCATTGGGCGACCAGATTGATTTCGGGCTTCATAAGATTCCCGCCTTTTGTCAACTTCACCATGCCTGAGCACATCCATTCAGACCACGTTTTGCGTAGCCTGTCTTTTAAAGGGTTTGTTCAGGCAGACATCAAGTGGTTGTAGAACTGAAGTTAAGCCTCCAAGTATTACAGCCAAAGTAGTTTTCATATTTTTGGCCACATTTTCACTTCATCCGTCTTGTGTGCCCTGAACATGTCCCAAATGAGCATAGCAGGTTTCTTGAAAAGTGCTCCTGGTCTCTTATTCCACACTTTTCCCAGCCATTCAATAGTCCCACTTTCATTCATCCATCCATCCCTTTTTGTGTGCACGTACAATGACACCAGCAGAAAATTTCATGTTTTTAGGTAAGGTTTTTCTTTTAAAAATAACAGGAGGGCTTTGATCCATTTGCCAAACACCATAAAACCACTCTAAAATGGATTTTTTCGTGGCCAGTGGTTTTAATTAAAACTGTTTTTTCACTAACACTGGTTACCGTTCTATTGCTCGGGAGATCGAATGTCATTGGTGTTTCGTCCATATTTCCTATTTGTGACAGTTCAAATGCATATTCCTTTCGATATTTTATAATAAACCAGGGGTTGGCAACCTTTCAGAAGTGGTGTGCTGAGTCTTCATTTAGTCACTCTAATTTAAGGTTTAGCGTGCCAGTAATACATTTTAACATTTTTAGAAGGTCTCTTTCTATAAGTCTATAATATATAACTAAACTATTTTTGTATGTAAAGTAAATAAGGTTTTTAAAGTGTTTAAGAAACTTCATTTAAAATTAAATAAAAATGCAGAGGCCCCCAGACCGGTGGCCAGGACCCGGGCAGTGTGTGTGCCACTGAAAATCAGTTCACATGCTGCCTTCAGCACCCATAGGTTGCCTACCCCTGTAATAAACCTTTGGAAAGATTCAATTTTTTTCTTCCAGATCTCTCGGCAGCTTTTGCGCTATCTTTGTTCTCTGACGAAGACAGAGACTATGACGGTTCATGAAGCGAGTACACCAACCCGCTGATGTGACAAACATTGATGGCTTTACTGACTTGTATTTGTCATCTTTCGACATTTGTAGAGCACGCAGACAAATTCCACTTCTAGTGACAACGTACTCATTTTGTCGACATTCAACAACCCAATTATTGAGATCTTTCTCCAGCTCGGGAAATGAAGTGCACCTCGAACATTTTTTCTTGCTTCTTGGCATGTCTTTTAGTGTTTTATTTTTTCGCCATTTTCTTACTTGCTTCTCATTGATACAGAATTCACGAGCAGCGGCGCAATTATTGTTTGCTTCTGCATATTCAACAACTTTAAGTTTGAACGCTGCGTGATAAGCAGACCTTTTTTCTTTTGATTTCACCGTTCATTTTAAATACCAGTATGAAAATAGATTTATTATTGTAGTTATAGATTTTGTAGGATTTTATACAGGAATGTCACCTGCTTTATCACTGTCAAATTATTATTATTCTTTGTTTATTTCAAAGCAGCCCTGTAGATTGGCATGTCTGTGAGGATAACAGGCTATTTCAATTTTATTAGAGATTCCATCAATTCTGCACATTATATTTTTATATTGGCTCAAGTCTTATGAAGTCCATTGGTAGAAATGCATGAAGAGATCAAGTTACTGCTCTTTTAGTGTTCCTTTCAAGCCAATCTAGTCCACTAAACAAAGCCTTTGCAACTTTAAAAGGCTACAGTACTGACATCAATAAATGGGTCAGCAAACTTTGGCTCCCGGCCTGTCAGGATAAGCCACTGGCAGGTTGGGACATTTTGTTTACCTGGAGCATCTGCAGGCATGGAGCCCCTCATTTTGTTTACAAATGACAATGTATTAGATATTCAATTAAATGATTTCATAGAGTTTTTAAAATCATCAAATTGTGGTGTATACCCATTTATAAGCTGACCCCTGCTCTTTGGTGCATCACCTTTTTACCAAAAATATTCAGCTTATGAACGAGTATATACGGTATCTAAGTTTTGTTTTTCATATGGCCTTCTTTGCATCTTGGTGCTCCTTGACTCATTGCTCATTTTGGGTAAAAATTCATCCTGGTGTAGCAAAGCAACACAAATCCTATGGGACTTAAGTTGTGTGTAGACCTTGTGCTACCTTGTTGTGGAGGTGGATTTTTTTGTCCTGTGTGACAGAATGAAGTATATCTCTATCACAACAGTGTCTGTTGCTATAATCACCTTGCCTGTGGGTGTCTGTCCATTTAAATTAAGCCCTGAGTCAGCAAAACACATACACAGGTGCTTAGGTCCTGTTGACTTCAATGAGACTTAATATTAAGCATGTGCTGAGTGGTGATTTTAGGGTGGGATTTTTCAGAAGTGCCAAAATGACTTAGGAGCACAAATTTCTCATTGCTGTATTTTTCTATCATATTCATTTTTAAAAAGAGAAAGATTTGGGAAATGTATATTACTGCCCTGTGACTTGCAGAGAAGGTGCGGGATGTGGCGATATGAAGGTATGTGCCAGATCATGCCCAGCAACATCTTTACCTGACCAAAAGAGAAAAAGAGATTGTAAACTTATAAACCAGGAACCTGATGGAAGCAGCAAAGAAGTGAGATTTGATATGTTTATCTCCACAATGAGAACTGAAAACTTACATTTGAATGAAACAATGCAATGGGGCAGTGTGACACACTTGAGTGATGAAACTCAAGGATGTTCTCATTATTACTGCAATGATCTTCCATTCTGACTTCAATTTAAAAAAATCTTTCACTGTTTCCAGATACCTTTGACAGCCACCATGCTGATTGATACACCAGGGACCTTTAGACCTGAAAGTGTGATCTTAAACTGAGAGCTATAACACACCTATATTCTCTGTGGATTAGCACAGAAGGGCACGCTTAACAGACACAGACCAGTGGGTTACGTACATCTTCTGATTGGAGGAAGCTCATCCCAAGCATATGAGGCCCACTGCAGTACAAATCCTGCATGAGTCCCCACTTATGTGGTGGTTATCATCTTGTCCAGTGCTAGGGATTGAACTAGGGACTTCCAAAACTAGGAGCTAGATTCTCTAAGTCTCAAGCTAAAGAGGCAGGCTTTCAAAACTGAAAGCTGTAACAAACCCATATCCTGTATGGATACAGACTCAGAAGAGGACACCGAACACCCACTGACCAGTGAGATACACACTCAAAAGTGTTTCTGGGAAGTAGAGACCACATGAGTACAGCTATTCAGCAAGATAATTTGGGAAAGCCAGCAGGGGCAGGAGCAGAAGAACATACTTTTACACAAGGAAAAGAGATTTCAGAAAAAACACGCTTAAAAACCTCATGAGCTCCTGCTGTAGATAGAGATGAAGCCAAATACGTAGGCAACATTACCATGTTTGCAGAGATAAGGGAAACCTATCCAGTGCTTTTTATTGTCATTTCAATGACCTTTCACCCTGCTTTTAGTTTAAAACCTACTGGAGCACTTTGTATAGCAAGTTTCTCTTTGCCATTTTAAAACGGCAGTGGTGGGGGATTGGGTGGCTCAGATCATGAAATATGGCAGGGCTTGAAAAATGTATTTACCGGTGTTATCTGTGGAGGCTTCCCTGGAGAGTGAGGGGGCCTAACGCATTGATTTCTACACGTTTCAAGCTTCACTTACAAAACGAAAAGATATTAAGACCCTGAATCCAGCAACGTATTACTCTAATTTAATGCCAGTGTGGCTGCGCTACCATAAAACTGGAGTAATACTGTGGTGAATCAGGCTGTAAGTTTCTAACCCTTATGACTGAGAACTTTACAAATGTGATTAGACACAGTATTGTTGTCTTGAGTCTGCAGACAGTTATTTCCCAGTCCCATTGCTGGTAGTTATCCCCAAGTACAGTGAAGTTGTAAGTGGACTCCACGTAGTTTCCCTATATCTAGTTGACAATGAAGGCTTCAAATGTATCGGGCACCTACTCTTCAGATGCCAATATGAAAGATGGAGCCTTTGGCAGGGCCCAAGGATAGGCCCCCGGTAAGAATCCCTCCTCCTTCCCCGCCTTAGCAGTTGCTCTTAGGCAGGGAATTGAACCTGGGTCTCCCACATGCTAGTCAGTAGCCTGACTCCTGGGCTGTTGGGCATAAGGTGGGGGGCACCACTACCACAGCCGCCGCGTCCTTGGTTTTATGAGTCCAGCCCTTCATTTCCTTTGCTTTTTATTTCTTAAAAGTGGTTTAAAATGCCCATAAATGGAAAAAAATAAAACATTTTGTTTGACCCAAAGCAATTTTTGTTCCAATGTTTCAATTTACCAAAAATTGCAAAAATACTGGCTTCCGTTAGACCACCACATACAGTGAATTTTTAAAATTATTTTTCTGAACTGCCAGCCAACCAAAAAGTCAGTTATTCACTCCCCTCTAGTTATTACTATTAGAAAGCTCGTTGGGAACCTCACAGTGGATAAATGACCATGTCAAAAGTATCTAGCCTCACTGCAAGTGGCCCATTTGTCATTCAGAAGGGAGAGAAGGCAAAGATAGAGTGGCATGTTTAACTAGCCTCCTATCCCAGAGGTGTCGTACCTCCTGGGCATGTTTGGTGTAGTATGCTGAAAACTGTAAATTTATGAGCCTTTTGGAGGAGGGGGGGAGCCAAGTGACATGACATATTTCTCCTTTCCAGAAAGAAACCTACTCTTTGTATCATGGGACAGTTAGTTGTACCTTATCTACTGTAGCTGACCTGTCAGTGGTGCTAGGGTCACTGATAACTGTGTATGTGGTGATCTTCATTTTCTTTTTCTTTTTCTTTTTCTCGTAAACAGGAAAATGATGGCATCAGCTTGTACTACTGGTCGCTGTTTGACGGCCATGCTGGATCTGGGGCAGCTGTTGTAGCCTCCAAACTGCTTCATCGCCATATTGTGGAGCAGCTGCAGGAGATTGTGGAGATCGTGAAGAACTCTGCAGTCCTTCCCCCAACCTGCCTAGGAGAGGAGCCAGAAAGCATGGTAGCTAACAGCAGAACCCTAACCAGGGCAGCCTCCCTGCGTGGCGGAGTTGGGGCTCCGGGCTCACCCAACTCCCCTCCAACACGCTTCTTTACAGAGAAGAAGATCCAACATGAGAGCCTTGTCACTGGGGCTATTGAAAGCGCATTCAAGGAAATGGTAGGTATATTTCAGTTGACTGCTTTGTTACTCAGTTTAATGAGTAATGGGGTTGGGGGAGATGGATTTCTTTTCACTTGTTTGGTCTAGAATTAGGTGTGTATTTACTGGCTCTCAGTCCTAAAGTATCTGAGCACCTCAGAATTTTCATGTGCTTATCCTTGCCATGCCACTGGGAGTGGGGCAGTGCTGTCATCCCCACTTTACAGATGGGGAGCCGTCGCACGAAGAGGCTCCTACCAAAGTTACATAGGAAAAAATAATTAAACCTAGGTCTCCTAAGCCCCAGGCGGCTGCATTAACCACTGGACCATTCTTCCGGTCACATTGTTGTCTAACTTGCTGACGTGGCTTTTAGAAGCTGTTTTTTAAAAAAGGGAGGTGTGTTATGTAGAAAGCTACGTTGCTCCACAATAGTAGATATGAGCTTTCAATGGTGAGATAAATTATTTACACTAGTCTGGATATTTCATAATAGAAAATGATGAAATTTGACCCTGGTGCAGTGGGATGGCCTCTGGCCCTGTATAGGAGGTGTGGAAGAAAGAGCTGCATGGAGGAGGCATCTATACCCCTCATGCCACAGGCAGGGTTTCTGCACCAGCCTTGCATGGGCTCATGTAGGAGGCCATGTTGTGGCAGGTTGCAGGTAGACCAGGGAAAGAGCCCCAGTACCCACCCATCTGGAGGAGCAGTGGCTGCTGTTCTTGCTCATAGGCTAGAATAGGGGCTGCACAGTAGCTCTGTACCCTGGCCCATTGTTTCGGGGGTGGGTCTCACCCCTCCACTCATTTGTGCTTTACTCACATGGATTCTTGGGGTGAAATTCTGGCTCCACTGAAGTCAGTGGCAAAATTTCCATTTGACTTCAGTGGGGCTAGGGATTCACCCTCAATGGATATCCCCTACCGGAGCCTGATTCTGCAAACTCTTGCCACTGTGCATAGTGCTTGCTAGCCTGAGATGGCTCCTAGCAGTTAGGACTATGCCTGATAATAAATGCTTGTGGGATCAGGCACTAGGAAATGACACTATTCCGTGTCTTAAAAAAGCTTCCTCTTTGTGCAGAAAAGTTTAAACTAAGCATTTCCCAGAGATTTTCTTCTCAAGGTGAAGTACAAAGGCAGGACTCAATCATAGTTTTTCCTCATATATGTGAATTAGTACATGCGTCTAATTAGCAGACTACAGCAGTTATTCCAGAAAAGAACTGTTTCATTTCTGCACTCAAGTAATTACAATGATTAGTTCTTTGTGTAGTGCTTTTCTTCCCAAAGAATCAGAAAGCTCTTTGCAAACTACTGTACAACTGAAAATATTCACTATAAAATACGTTGTACATTTTTATTACAAATCTTTTTTTACTATTACATGACACAATGATAGAAGTTGCACAGAATCAAATATATTTAAATTAGTATTATGAAGTATACCCCACAACATCATAATAAATGCACATGGCTTAGTATAGCACTGAGGGCCCTGCCTGAAATTTGGGCCCATTGTGCTAGGGACTGTGCCCACAAATCATGGCAATTTCTCTCTCATTGTCACTAGCTGGCATCGTGGTAGGGTTTATTCAAGATGAGCATCTCCTGCCCCATGCCTTTGATCAAATGTTGCAGGCTGGGGACCTTTTATTCCCACTTCTGCTTCTCCTTGTTGTCTCCAGGAATGGCTCTCAGTGGTTACCCCAGTACAATAACAATTCTAACTAAAAAAGGCAGTTTTATTAGGGAAAAAATAGGAGTAAATACAATATATCCAGTCTAAAGTCTGGGTAACATCTTGTGCTTATAATGGGTTTCAGCAAAAGAATAACATTTCTTTCTTTCTCTCTCTCTGTGTGAGAGAGTTATGGAACATCAGCATTTCTAAGGCTGACACACTCCTCCCACCTCTCTAACTCTGTCCTTCTTTATACGCCTGGTGCTCTCTGAAATAAGTGTGAGCCTCCTTGATATCACTGTAGTCATTCTTTATTAGTACCTCATCCATATTTTGGTTTTATGCTAGTCCAACCCTTTTGAGTTAGTTTATTTACATGGGTTCCTTACTAGCACAATGTATCATTGTACCCAATGTTTAACAAAAACCAGCATTCCTAAAGTAGGCAGGCACGCTTCTCGGTTTTCTTTCCTGCAACACAGCACTTCACAGGAACCCTTTGAACCTGGATAAAGTGTTGGGTAGGTACATATAACCCTCTTTGCACATTCCTTCAGGTACTGCCTAACAGAAGGCCTTCAACTCCTCTCTTCCCCTGGAGTGTTGTGTGCCATTACGCCTTTCTGCCCAGCCTCCTTTCAAATGCTAATTAGGTCTTCCCTTTCTTGCCTGAAGTGTCAGACTCAGTGTAACTCCCTTTTAGTCATAACTCAGTTAATAATTCCAGTGTCTGTCAAATATGATTTCTTCTGGAGAGTGCTCACTCTAATAGACCCACACACAGTAAACTACATGGCACTCTGTTTATCTTCCATGGAAGGCTGTTACCCTACTTAGATATTTAAACTACTAACCACTCTCCTGTCTGGTTTTTTTTTTTTTTTCTAGACTACAATGTTTGGTTATGTTGTAGCTTGTGTTAATTTATTTCCATGTTGTAACCTGGAATCACAAATGTTTATTCCAGGCCACACTCAGTTGGGTGTCCATTGTTAGCATTTACAATTACATTTGTTAACTTGAGTTAATGGAAAATCTGTTACAATACAACCCAAAGCAGTAGTCTGGACAAACCCTGAGTAGTTTATAGGCCATGTCCTGGGGAGCTGGAAGGGTATTTCCAAGTGTTCTTCTATATTAAGATACTCAGATAATTTCATCAAACTCAACTCCATCAAACTCAGCTCACTGAACTGAACAAAAGGGGGCTTATTTGAAGTTCATCTGTTGGGGGTGTATGCATAGTTTTGTGCATCACAGGTGAGCCATCTACCTCTTCTTTCTTTTTTTGTTTTGAAGAGACTAAAGGAAAAAGCTTCCACTCCACACTCAGCCTTATGTAGAAAAAGTGCCACACAGAGTACACTCCCATCTGAAAAGTATATCCTCACCCCCAGTTATCCTGCTCTCAGGTCATGACTTAGTTTATATCTTTTTGTTTTTGTTGTATTGGGGTGAAACTTAGTTTGTGATACAGTTAAGTGATACAAAGCTGTCTTACTTCTAAAATAACAGATGGGCTGAAGAGGTGGTGTTCAAATCCAGAACCAGGTTTGGATTCAACTTGAGATTCAAAATCAGGACTAAGATGTGTATTCAGTGTAGATGAAGTCTAGTAAACTGTTCTTGTGAAATTTTCAGATCAAAATGGTGCAGATCTTGAGAGATGAGAATGTCCTCGTGTTTCTGCCGTTTTGAATGGTGGAAACACTTGAAAGAATCCATTGTTTAAATAACTGACAAAACAAGAAGAGGGTTGACTTGGTGATGTAAGCATTATATTTCAGAATATCGGGCTTTTTTAGCATCACTTCTGGAGCCACAAGTTCAAATTCCAAGACAGTTACCTCAGCCCTTCATCAAACCTATTAGTTTTACTTAGAGGCTGCTGGTTCTCTTTGGAGATGGGCTGCTCTCTACTGTTGTGCGCACTCTTCAGTAAAGAGCTTTGAATTCGGACCTTGCTGTTGTTGCCTGTCTCTCTCCGGTCAGACAACGAACCATGCCGTCGGGGGTTCGAGTCCTCGACACTTCTGATGTAGATGAAATAAATACCTGTTTCTTTTGAGGTAAACAGACTGAGAAGCCTGGGACCTGTATTGAAACAGGACATTACTTTCTGGATGGCCTGTACAGAGCGACTTGCATCTGCTTGATAACATAAAAAGCAAATGAATCCATATGTGATGTTTACTACCATGTATAATTGGGTCAAGATCAAACTTATTTACAAGCCCTACTTCTCTGAGTCTTACTAATGGATCTCAAGTTGGGGGGGAGAATAGGTATCGCTACTCTGTTTTAAACTTCTACTCAGGATCGAGTTGTTGCACAAAGAGGAAAGATTGCTTGTTCTTTTGAAGGCCATGATTAGCATTGCTTGGCCTTCCCTTTTTTGGAACGTGAGGCACATTGGGTAGGCCATGGCAATGAATTAACAAATACACTTTCAGCAGTCTTATACTTATATCTTATAGTTAGTTGGGGACTGGTCCTGCTTTGAGCAGGGGGTTGGACTAGATGACCTCCTGAGGTCCCTTCCAACCCTGATCTTCTAGGATTCTATACTGTGATCAATCTACACTACAACTCTGACAGTATTAGCTCATGGTTGTCTGGCTTGGGTAAGTGAGTATGTATTCTAACAGCTTTTCCTATAGCACTGTGGTTCAGACAATGCAACCTAAACTGTAAACAGCATCCCTATGATGATTCTTAAAACACTTTTGTCCCATCTATACTACAAACAAAAATCAATTTTTTTATTTTTTAAGTTTTTAAGTTTTGATTACAAAAATAGATGGTATCCCAGGCTCTGGAGGTTTAAACACTTTAAATTGCAAACCCCCCACACAAGAGAAGCATCAGCTGCCTAATATGTCAAAGTGAAAATGCAAGAATACCCAACCCTAGAAAGATCCTTGTCCACCCCTCTCTGCAGCCCTCCCCAAACCCTGAACAAATAAATGGGCTTTGCCGTGTTTCCTGGAGATTAATAGATTAACAGGACTGTTTTGGAGCAAAATGGCAATGAGATCCAGAGCTGAGGAGCCCTAATGGAAAGTGTCTGCCAGAAGCCCCCCTCCCTCTTTTTTAAGCAGAGATAACTTCAGCTTGAGATTCTAATTTCAACAGTAACATTATCTCATGAGGACAGAGGCAGTCGGTCTTTCATGTAGGCAGTCCTAAACCATTTCTGATCATGACTAAAACCAACATGAAACTCCAGCTGGAAACCAATCGTCAGGCAGGCTAGTTCATGAAGCACTGATGACATGTGCTTCTAGAATAATACTCCACTTAACAAGTAGACAGTGGCCTACTGCACCAGC